CTTACCAATGCAGCGTATTCGCACATAGAAAGAAGTTGCTTCTTTGAAGTCGTTCCCAGAGCACAATTTTGATCCACGCTTAGCCAGAACCTTTCGCTTTGAGCAGAGTGGTTGTTGACTACAGTTCAGGCAAATAAATTAATTTGCAGAATGTTTGGCGTATTCTTGCAGGATAAGTGGACACCCATCATTTTTGCTTTGTTACTTGAGGATAAAAAGATGCTTTAGAAACGACAACTCGCTCTTGTTCCACTTTTTTTAAATGGAACTATTTTTCTCAAAATTCTGATCTTTCTATTGCGATTAGAATCTGCCAGAGCGATCTCCCTTTTTAAGCCATTATGCTCCTAAGTAGTGTATTCTCGCAATAGAGGGCATTATGGCTCGTTGAAAAAAATATGCTGCTTTCAGGAGACGGGCTCCATCGTATGGACGGACCGCTCAACTCCCTCGGAGGGGGGTTGCTCTCTACCCTCAATCAAGTAAATCCACAAGCAGTAGATTCATTAACTCGTAGCTTGCAGCAAAGTGGTAAGCATTTCGTCTACAGTTTTTATGGGCATCTATCTTAAACAGTACTCTAGGGATTGATATGGACTCCGCTGGAGCAGGTATGCGTATTCAAACTCTGTTCTTGAGAGGAATGCATGAGGAGAGTCTGAGAAGAAGCAGTGCAACGGGTGCTGGTTACGGAGCAAGTTTAGCTGCTAATCCTGCACAAAGTATTTTCGGTGTACCGCAGCTGAGTCAAATGGATGGTGAATCAGTTTCATTTGATTTTTCTTTTCTCTTGTATTTTACAATCAGTACTTTTTACTTCCAAAAACGAAGAGCATAAGTTTCAAATCAATTTTTTAAGGTAAGTGTAGTTTGCCTGGATCTTATGGTATTATTACCAAAAAGAATAAAACACCACCTTGAAGACTCACTTTTGTTTGACGACGTTCAAGGGCGGTGCGAAACAATCAGGCTCTACACTTTTGAATATGGTTTTGTTTAAGATACTGTGTCGATAATAGGTTCTTAAAACGTCTTAGCAAAAGCTTCTTACGGTTTTGTATTGCATGTACATTACTTTTAAGAATCTATAATGCCGGAAAATGCCTCACATAGTCGACTTGTGTTGCGATCAAATCTACCGGGAACAAATGAGGAAGGCTCTGAAGATGAAGAACCGAGTCAGCAAAATGATGATGATGATGAATCTC